TCTCCCCCTCCGATTTACCCCCCTTCATTTTTCCCTTCCTACTATCTTTTTTTTTAAACATATAATGTATTGTTTCAGAGGTACAGGTCTGTGATTCAACAGTCCTACACAATTCACAGCGCTCACCACAGCACACACCCTCCCCAATGTCTATCACCCAGCCACCCCATCCTTCCCACCCCCCACCACTCCAGCAACCCTCAGTTTGTTTCCTGAGATTAAGAATTCCTCATATCAGTGAGATCAGAGAAAGACATGTATGATATGATCTCACTGATCTGGTTTTATTTCTAAAATGGAAACTCATTTGTTGTGATTTGGATAATTGTTTGAATTTACTTTTTAGCTAAAAATGAGAAAATTTTATCAATTCTTCAGGACCATTCTTGGGCTCAAAACATCTCACTCCATTTCCCTTCTCCCTTAAATGTCTTTATACCCTTCTTTCTCACCCCTCAGATGCCAGCTCAAGCATCACTTGCTCAGGGATGCCTCTCCTGATCTCTAAGGCTAGATCAAGTTTCCGACTTTATGCTTACATAATACACTTATTTTTCTTTCATCACTTATTGGACTTTATAAATATGTATTTCCATGAGTATTTATTGTATCCCTCATTAAACTTTGTTCCCTAAAGGCAGGAGCTTTGTTTCTCTTACCACTGGATCCCTAGCACATAAATGGCACTCAAGATTTATTGAAAGAATGATGAAAAGGAAAATGGTATGGACATACAATGTCTGACCAATACTAGGCATTCATTAAAACCTGCTTGTTTGTATTTCTATTATTGTTTATTTCTGGTTATGCTCTGACAGAAAATGATCATTTTTTTCCCTCAATACTATATTTGAAAATTGACTTTCTAATGCTATATATTTTTAAGCCTTTAATACCAAGCTACTCTAATAGTCTTCCCTTCTCTACAGGGTTGCCATACTGTGTAAGTCCAGGAGGGTACACTGTATTCTACCGAGCAGGGAGTTGTTTGATGTAGTATCATTGCATCCTCACCTCCCTCTGAGAAAGGGAAAGCATTTAGCTAATTCTTCAAGTTGGTTATAAGAGCAATTCTAAATCCTAGCTGTACATCAAAATTACATGGGACACTTTAAAAACAGAAATCCTGGGGCGCCTAAATGGCTCAGTTAGCTAAGCGTCTGCCTTCGGCTCAGGTCATGATCCCAGGGTCCTGGGATCCAGCCCCGCTTCTCCCCCTACCTCTGTTGCTCCCCTTGTTTGTGCTCTCTCGCTTTATCTCTCAAATAAATAAATAAATAAAATCTTTAAAAAAAACCCACACAAACAAATCCTTGAGCCCCACCCTACATTTATTGAGTCATTATTTAGTGAAACTCCCCCCATGACTTCAGAACCAGGGTTAGGAAACACTGGGTTGGAGCACAGGATGAGTGTGGGAAAGGTGGTTACACATTAATCTGGATAGGAAGGTTAGAGACCATGTAATTAGAGGCCCTGTATTCAATACTAAGGAAATGGAATTTAATTCTACATATACTAAGGAACCATGAAAGGTTTTCAGAAGGTAATGAAATAATCAGATCTGTAAGAAAGGTGAACTTGGCACCAGTGTGGCAGATACGCAGGCAGGGTGTAGAACCTCAGCCAGGGGAAGCCAGGGAGGAAGTTAAACAAACTTAGGAACAGGTGGTAAGGACTTGAACTAGGGTAGATACAGTGCAACCAGGGAGGAAGGGAATGGGAAAGCACTCACAAGACATTTGATAAGACCCAATAAATGGAATGTCTAGGATAAGAAAGGAGAGAGAGGCTGAAAACCACTCCAGGATTTCCAGGCTAAGCAACTGGATGCAATTTGATGATGCCACTAACCAAACAGAGAATACAAGTGGAAGGACAGAATTGAGCAAGCAGAGGAAACAGATTCTGTTTCCAGCTATGATGAAATAGAAGTTCCTTTTGTACGCCATTTAGGTAGAGCTAGAATAGCAGGAAATTGGAAATTAAGATCTAGAATTCAGAAGAGAATCTGAGGCTGAAATTTTAGGTTTGGGAGTCATCAGGGTATTTCAGTTGAGGCCATTGGAATGAATGAAACCGAACAGGGCATTGTCTATGTAGAATCAAAAGTGCTTAGCACAGAATTAGAGATAAAGCAGGCTTTCTCATTCAATTTACTTAACCATATAATTTTAATAAGGCTCAGAAAGAGCACCATTTGAAATAAGCAGAAATTAATGTGAAGTGTAAATTACGATGTATAAAAATTATCTGCGATCTTTAGGACAACTTCAAATATGACTACTGTATCTCTGTACTTACTTAGAATACATCAATCTGCTAGCTTGGAAAAACTAGTTTCTAAACTTATTAAATAGCAGATTAGTCAAGATGAGTCAGATGACTCAGATTACGAGTCAGTTAGCTCCTCATCTATGGTATCAGTACTCCCCTAAATGAAACAGATACTCGGTGATCTACTTCCTACAATGTAAAGGCAATATAATTCATTAAGCCAAATCATAAAAATACAACATTTATGTAATAAATGCAACTACTTATATCCAGACATTGTCACTTAATCTGTGTCTATATATGTGTGTGCTTGTATGCCAGGCACTTTTGTGTCATTTATTTTCATACAAATTCATGACTGGGTCTGGAATTATTTCAATAGAAAGCAAGCCAAATTTAAGATTCCTAGGACTGGCTACTTTTAGACAGTGAATGAACTTGTATATACTGAGTCCCAGAAATCTTTGTTTAAAGAGGGATCCAGGTTAATTATGAGGCAGGGGGTTTCAAGAACTATACTCTGGGAAATACTAATTTATACTAGTTACACATTTTAACTAAGACTTTTAAAAACATGTTGAGAAATTTTCTTGGATTACAGAAAAATGTTTGAAATAGCAGTGTTATGTGGTTTAAATAGGAAATATATTTTCTTTATTCAACTTTGTTAACTTTCAGTATATTTTGAAATGACACACAAAGTTATACCAAAGCTATATTTTAATTTCATTACATTGCACTCCAAATTCTTTACCATTTACGAAAAATAACTTTTATAAAGCATACTGTTTTGTCCATTAATATACAAGTGATCAATCTACACTTTTTTGCATGTTTCTCTCAAAAATTAGAATAGCTTATGAGGATATTATATAAAACTAACTGGTATATTACACACCAAACAGAAGTACAGATTCTGTACAATGTAATAGTATACATATATATTACAAGAGACTAAATGCCTTGTTAAAAGTAATAGTTTAAGAAATCTTTCATGGAAAAAAATCTGCATTACAAAATTTGTTGGCTTAAGTATCAGCTGCTTTCCTCTCATGAATTTCTTTCGGTCGGCATTAACTGTCCATTTAGCTTCATTAATAGTTTTACCACAAGGCCAGCCTACAAAGTAAAATATATGTCGGCAGTAAATATGAAACACATAAGAATGGGTAAATGACATACATGACAGTGGGCAGTTCCCTATCTATCTGAAAAGGAAGGAACATTCTTAGTAGGAAGCAGCTTGTCAAGAATAAAGAGAATACTTAGACTTTGAAGGGATTTAAGAAGCAACCTACCGGATGCAGCTAGTGGCTCAGATACAATACTGGTTAAGAAGAGGTAAGGACTACCTAATACCTTGATAAAAGAGATAGGGAATACTGACCAGACTTAAAGGAAATGGCAGAAAAAAGAGTTTCACTGTTATAAAACCGAAATAAATTATTCAGATAAGTTTCTGGCTTATTTGCTTAGGAAAGGCCTGCCTTTTTCCCCTTGGTCTTAAATATCTTAATTTCATACGATATCAAAGGTTTTCCTTGAAGCAAAATGGATTGTCACTTAAAAAAATTTTTTTCCTTTTTTTAAAAATTCAATTAACCAACATATAATACATCATTTGTTTTTGATGTAATGTTCAATGATTCATTAGTTGCGTATAACACCCAGTGCTCATCACATCACTAATACAGTAGTTCATTAGAAGTCCAAAGTAAATGATAAGTACTTACCTGTTTTGTGTGTACTATAAAGCTCATTTTATTTTCCATACTATGGATCTGAAAACATGTATCAGCATCCCCCAATTGCCACATAAAACAACCATACTTAAGACTGATGAGTAAAGCCTGCAACATAATTAGAAACTGTTTTATTAAAATATATATTAAAAACAACACCTATCTTCTCTTACTATCTACAATGACCTAGTTGACCTAGTCATGTCTAAACATAATGGTTTTGAATGTTAGAATAAAATCTATTTGAGGTACCTACATTAACTTCACACAGCCTAAAGTACAGAGCCACACAGATGGTAGACTCTCAGGAGACTGTCTTAAGCAATGATAAATTGTTTGTATCAGACTGACAAAATATTTTAAAGATGCCTGTTCTGTGGTATGTATACACACACACACACTCTCTCTCTCTCTCTCGGGAATATTATTCAGCCATGAGAAAAGAAGAAAGTACTGCCATTTTCGACAACATGGATAGACCTCGAGGTCATTATGCTAAGTGAAATAAGTCAGAAAAAGACTAATAGTATAGGATATCACTTAATTCGGAGTCTAAAGAAGCTGAAGTCACAGACACAGAAACAGAATGGTGGCTACCAAGGGCTGGGGGATGGGTGAAATGAGGAGATGTTGGCCATAGAGTACAAACTTGCAGGTATAAGATGAGTAAGTTCTGGGGAATCTAACGTACAGCATTGTGACTATAGTTAACAGTACTATAATATATACTCCAAGTTACTGAAAGAGTAGATCTTAAATGTTCTCATCACAAAAAAGATGGTAATTATGTAACATGATGGAGGTGTTAGCTAATGCTATGGTAATAATCATTTTGCAATATATAAGTATACCAAATCAACCCATTGTATACCTTAAGCATACTCAATGTTATATGTCACTTATGTTTCAATAAAGCTGAGAAAAAAGATGCCCATTCTCTCAGTGACTTTCAAGAAAATTAAATGTCGGGGCACCTGGGTGGCTCAGTTGGTTAAGCGACTGCCTTCGGCTCAGGTCATGATCCTGGAGTCCCTGGATCGAGTCCCGCATCGGGCTCCCTGCTTGGCGGGGAGTCTGCTTCTCCCTCTGACCCTCCCCCCTCTCATGTGCTCTCTGTCTCTCTCATTCTGTCTCAAATAAATAAATAAAATCTTTAAAAAAAAAAAAAAAGAAAATTAAATGTACAGGTTTTTACTTTCTGCATATTAAAAACATTCCCTTTTACTTTATTCAGTACCTTTTGAATATTCACATGGTACTTTCAGATCTGAAATTTATGTAATGAGGTAACATGCTGACTTAGGCAATTCCGTCTCACTGAAAATAAGTACAGTGATACAGCTATTGTAAAAATAAGTATAATTTTTAAAATAACATACCCTTCATAAATTCATCAAATTATTTAAAACAAATATTAGAATAACCTATTCCTATATTTTCCTAATGAAAAGCTATATTTAAATAGGCATTCAATGTATCTTTTTGATTTTTTTTTTTTTTTAAGATTTTATTTATTTATCTGACAGAGAGAGACACAGCAAGAAACAGAACACAAGCAGGGGGAGTGGGGGAGGGAGAAGCAGGCTTCCTGCTGAGCAGGGAGCCCGATGCGGGGCTCGATCCCAGGACGCCGGGATCATGACCTGAGCTGAAGGCAGACGCTTAACCGACTGAGCCACCCAGGTGCCCCTCTTTTTGATTATTTTAAAATAAGTCTCTCCTAGCAGTAACTTTCATTTTCTTGCCCTAAAAATATATTCTTTATATACACATGTACAAAGAAAGTATTTGTGCATCCTTTAAAATACATGTCTAAGAACATCTGTATTCTGACTAGCAGTTCTTAACATATTGATTATAAGCAATTGAAGTTATATGAAAAAGATATGGTTTAGGGCATTTTTAAAGTGAGGTTCTTAAATGAAACAGTATAATTAATTTTCACGAGTGTACATTATGTATAATGGGAAACTAATAATACCTTCTTTAAAATTAGCCACCCACATTTATACTGTAAAATACAGCTTTATAGATAGGGTATGCTAAAATAGCTGTTTACCAAGGTACACACTGAAACACTGAGTCAAGATATAATACCTTAAACTGTCTATCTTTTAGATCAGTTGTTTGAAATCTGTTTAATCAAGATGCAGAAAATGTTCATTAGTATGGCCTCAAAACAGTTTAATTTACAGAAAAAAAAATAAACTTGTGGTACAAGTCCTCAATTATATGGCCAACATAAATTGGTATCAGCGAAGGGTAATCTGTTGCCTGGGTGTGGCAGTAGTACTATTATGGTTAAAGATATATTAACAAGTACAGTTCAGTGATGAAATAGCAATACATTCACTATATAAAACACTGATCTACAACACAGTGTATTATACATTCAACAGTGTCTACATTTTATGTAAGTAGGACAGAAAAATCTCTGATGAGCATATGAAATTGGCTGGGCTATACTTTCCAATGGGAATCTCTCATTATTTCAAAGAGAAACAAGATATAGATGATAGAAGTAACTGATAGAAAAAACACAGCTGTATTCTATCTATGGCTTTTCATAGATTTAATCTCTGAAGCTATTATATCCCAAGTAGAGTTTTAAATGTAAATGAAGGTATTTTTGCAAATGAAGATGTTTATTCTCTTAAAGTAAGCTTGTCAAATTCACCCCTAGCATATCTTGATGACTGTAAGACAAGGGAAGACAAGCTGACTGCTCCCACCTTTGATGATTAGAAAATATAATCAACTTAGAGCTTTCATAGGTGCTGTAAATTTATCAGTGGTTTACAGAGCACAAGGTAATAGTTAGATGGACAGAAAACATTGTTACCCTTTGGTTTAATCCCTTCTTATAACCAAAGACAGTATTTTTATTTATATTTCTAGAAATCAAACATCTTATCCTAAAAAAGCATACTGTTAACTAATAATATTGTTATCCTCTGCCTGCTACTGCAGTCTCACTTACTCCTGGACCAGAATATTATTCATAATGTGAAATGTTTTAAGATAATGCTGACCCATCATATGGGAACTAAATAACACGTTTTATCGTTGCCTAAACTTGGGATGCTACCAAAAGTCAAACATACACTATAGCTTACAGAAGAGGCTTGGTGTCATACCCACAGCATCACATTTAGTTCAATAAAGGATTTGTAAATGTTGTATAAAATGCTCTGAAATAGCAGAGGAAAAATTTCTTGAAATGCTTATAAGGGGAATTTCTCCTTCAATTTCCTTTAACAAACAGTACAAAAGAAATAGAAAAATGATTACAAACTAATAAGAAGCAGCCTATTTTGTATGAGTAAAGTAGCTTAAATAGAAAATGATAATAAGCAAATGACCCAAAAGCAAGCTGGTATCAGAGACTTCAAAAAAATCAAGTTCCAGATAAACTCCTGAAGTCAGTCCCTATTCAGCTCTATGTCCCTATATATTCTCTGTCTCCATTCACAGGCATATCCAAGAGCATGGGAAAATAGCTGTGTCTGGAGTTATCACAAAATGACTGAATTACTTTCAGAAGTTATGTGATTACACAATAAAAGCTTATGAAAATGATGAAAATAAAAATTAGGCTTATGATAAAATTTCCTAATCTAAAATGCCTTTTCTAACATATAAGCTTAGTTATTACCTCAACTGATCTATTCATAGACAAATCTGAATGAACAAAATTAATGATTTTTCTTAGCTTCCTATTACAAACTAGAAAGCTGTTAATCCTGATAAATGTGTTAAATATGCTGAAAATAATTGATAATCCCAAATTTTATATTATAATGACTCTGATTAGAAAAAGGAGTATAAAAGAGTAACAAGCCTCTGATGGCAAAGCTCTGAAGTGATCTAAGAATAGTCCCTTCCACACTTCATCTTGCCTGTTCCCCAAAAGGCTCTTACTACTAATTCTGATTTCCAAAGTGAATCCCTTGTATCAGATATTATATTTTTCTTTTTTTAATCTGTATTTTTTTCATTTAAACTTAATTGAATTGTTTGAATAGGTAATATTATCACAGTTAAAAAAATTTTTAAGTTGCAAAATGGTACATAGTAAAGTCTCCCTTCTACTCTTGTTCCCAGTTACCTGGTTGCCTTCTCTAAAGGCTTTATGAATTTTTACTCATACACAAGCAATATGTATTTATGTAAATATAGTCTTCACTTCCCCCATTTCTACACAAATAGTAACCTATTACATATGGTTCACCACTATGCTTTTTCACTAAATATATCTTGGAAATCATTCTATACATTCTTCATTCTTTTATATGGCTGCACAGTATTTCAACATAGAAATGTACTATAATTAATATAATTATATAATTAGTATATGTTAATAATATAATTAACCCTTACTGACAATCATTTACTTTTCATCCCTCATCCTTTGCTATTACAAATGAAATTGCAATGAATAGTCTTATATATTTGTCATTTCTAGATTTTTCATATAGGCTGGTACCATTTTTTTTTAGACATTATAAAATGTAACTGGTCAAAAATAGCTGAAAAGCTGAAAATCTACCTTAGTTTCCATGTTGAGGAGATGAAGTCCTTTTATATTCACTCCTACATACACAGGGATGACTTTATGATTGCTGGGGCTTGCCTTTGTAAATATCTGTCCTGTGAAAAAAGCTGCTCCATATGTAGGAATTTCCCAACAATTCTGTAAGAACATGCGCTGAAGGTGATGCATTTCTTTACTGACACCCTCACTTGTACTAAGATTCTAAAAACAAAGTAAAATAAAAGAGATGTGAAAAGAGAACATACCTTTGATAATCCAAATAGGTCAACTAAGCAGTTTCTAAAATCATGGCTGCCCCCAAAGAAGAATAAAATTGTGACATTACCCCAAAAACAAGTTTTCTTTTGAGATGTTAATATTTAAAAAAGTAAAGAAATATCATAATCTAAAAATACTGTTTGTCTATTCTATTAGGTTTTAAGTGCCCCTTGGACAGGGATAGTGTATAATTTCATGTGTGTGTGTGTGTGTTGTGTGTGTGTGTGTGTTTAATCTCTAGTCCTTACCACAGTATCCAGCATACAGAAGGTGTTCAGTAAAAGATTCCACATTATTAAAAATAAAAATATGCTACTTCCAGTTTCATGTGAACTAGAAAATCCATTTTTAATTTCAGGACTGTAAATTTAATGTACCTATATTTAAAACATATTAAACAATTTCAAACAATTTAATTTACAAAATTTCAACTAGGATATAAAGTGTCTTTTTATTTCTATTAAACAGCTTACCTTGTATTCATGAAGTATTCGGTTTGTCCAGTGAGGTGCCTTACTTTTTAGTTTGGTAACAGGTACAATGGATTTTAGGTTTTCTTCACTGTAAGCAAATATGCCAACATGCTTTAAATAAATCATTTTTAGCAGTAAGTACATAAATCATCCAGAAACAAACTGCTTTAAGTAACATGATTTTTTAGCTGAAAAATCTATATTGTACAATATTAGAGAACTCTCAAAATTTTAAGCAAAAGGCCACAATCCCAACATTCTCATTTAAGAGAAATGTTTCTTCTTTCAACAGCCACAAAATATTTTTGAAAATTGAAAACCACGATAAAGCTTCAGTGTTTAAAACTTCAGTGTTTTCTCTCAAAGACTGAACATGTAGCTAGTTTTTGTGGTAGATCTTAAATGCATCTACTTACCGAGTCAGGTTTTAATGAACTTATTTAATGTAATAGAGAGAGATAAAGAAGAAAAAAATATAAGGTATATCAAGGGGTGCCTGGCTTGTTCAGTCAGTAGAGCATACAACTCTTGATCTTAGGGTTGTGGGTTTGAGCCCCACGTTGGGTGTAGAGATTACTTAAAAAAATAAAATCTTTAAAAAAAATAAGATATATCAAACCATAGTCAAATATAAGAAAAGTAACTTTGGAGAGAGTATAACTTTAAGAATGCTTTACTATTGTTCTGTTTTTTCCTTATTCCATGCCTTGTATCCTTTAGTTCCAAACCAAAGTATAAATATTTCTTAATAACATTTTTAAACTTTCTCAGTTAAACAGAATCTCAAGCACAGCACAAGACCACATGTTGTATTAAATACTTACTTTAGGAAACCTTGCTTGTGTTTCTTACTCTCATAATTTCCATAAACTATTTGCAACAGTAGACTTGCCAATGTTATCAGTTTAGCATCAGGAGCTGTATAAAAGCCCTTCAATAAATTATATCTGGCTTCATCAAAGAGAATAAGAATAGCTAGTGGGTCTTCAATCTTAAAAGGAAAAAGTATAATTTGGTTATTGGGCTATAATTTCCTGTTACAAAAATACAACTTATCACTTTCTAATATGGAAAAGCAAAAGCTACATATCCTATATATAAATGAGCTGCTATTGATTTAGAGCAGAGGTTGACAAATTTTTCCTGTTCAGGGCCAGATAATAATATTTTAAGCTTTATGAGTCACAAAGTCTTTCTTACAACTACCCAACTCAGCTACTGTAGCACAAAAGCAGCCACAGACAATCTAGTAAGACACGGGTGTGGCTGTGTTCTAATAACACTTTTTATATATGGATACTCAAATTTAAATTTCATAAAATTTTCACATGACATGAGATATTATCCTTTTGATTTTTTTCAACCATTAACAGCTTGTGGGGTATATAAAAATAAACAGCAGGTCAAATATAGCATAGGCTATAGTTTGTTTATCTCTGATTTACAGTCTAATAAGAGATTATCATTGGTTTATAGATATGGATAACTTCTAGCACAATTTTACCTAAATTATATTTATATGCCTCAAACATTATTCTACATGTTTCACACAATATATTAGTGAACCTCAAGGAAGATAAAAGGAAGCAAGTTAATTCCTAGGAGGGCACATGTAGTTTTAAAAAACCTTATTTAAAAACTTTTTAAAAAATTTTATTTGGCTAAAAAAACTTGGCACTTTGAAATAACACTAAAGGAGAGCAGAAGATTTTTTTTCTAAGTTTCGAACTCTTAATAAAGTTTCATTTTATCCAATAAGATTAACAAAGATTGAAAAGCTAGCCTACAGAATATACTTCTGCTCCAACTGGAAACAGTTACATAGAGTTTCTGAATGAATACTTAAAGTAGTTCCAGGGCGCCTGGGTGGCTCAATCAGTTAAGTGTCTGCTTTCAGTTCAGGTCGTGATCCTGGGGTTCTGGGATGGAGCCCGGAGTTGGGCTCCCTGCTCAGCGGGGAGTCTGCTTCTCTCTCTCCCCCTGCCCCTCCACCCAGCATGTGCTCTCTCTCTTGCTTGCACTCTCTCAAATAAATAAATAAAATCTTAAAAAAGTATTTCCAAATACAATTCAAAGTGATCTCAAATCCTTATGGTAAAAGTTATTTTGTCTAACTAAAATAATCTTATAATGCTCTATATAATACGAAAAAACAACTGAAAGAGAATTTCATGGGGAAAAAAGATGAGAGGATTATTCTGGATTAAAAGAGACTAAAGAGATAACATTCAAATACAAAGTATGAACCTTGACTAGATCCTACATATGGGAGCTATATAAGATTTTTAAACAACTGGGGAAAATCTAAATATGGATCACATATTAGATATTATTATGTATTTTTTTAAATTTAATTGCTCTGGTTAGAACTTCACTACTATGTTAAATAGCAGTGCTGAAAGCTTGCCTCCTTGTCTTGTTCCTGATCTTAGGAGGAAAGCTCTCAACATTTCATCGAGTATGATGTTAGCTGTGAGTTTTACATAAATGCCACTTACCATGTTGAGGAAGTTCCCATCTATTCCTAATTGTAAGAGTTTTATCATTGAAAGGGTACTGGATTTTGTCAAATGCATTTTCTGTGTCAATTGAGATGATCAACTGTGGTTTTTTTCTTAAGATTTATTTATTAGAGAGCATGAGCACAAGTGGGGGGGAGGGGCAGAGGAAGAAACAGACTCCCCACTGAGCAGGGAGCCTGACGGGGTCGGGGAGGTGGAGGGGTGCGGGCTCCATCCCAGGACCCTGAGATCATGACCTGAGCTGAAGGCAGCTGCTTAACTGACTGAGCCACCCAAGGCGCCCCTTCCTCTGTTCTATTTATGAAATTCTAACATTTTTTTATGAATAATCTAAATCTGTTTTTGGTAAATTTCATACAAATTTTTATGTAACTCCCAATATATGTCACTGAAAGGATCATATCTGTCTTTGGTTTGATAATATAAGAGGGACAATATGAGTGATCAGGTATAAAACAGTTACCAAGTTTGTACATGGTCGATGAACCTTTTATATACTAAAATTTCCTTAACTTTGTTTAATATTTCCTTGGATAAGAATCAGGAAATGCATTGTATGTTTTTTCTTTGCCAAAGTTATGAGCCCTTGGAACTTTTTTTTTTCAATTTTAAAAAATTTTTAGACTATCACACTAGTTTAACTTGTAATATCCACCTTAAGTTTCTTTGTTGTCCATTCATCCTTCAGATAGCATTATCCCACCTCTCCTCTAAAATCTACAGTAATTCAAATTCAAATGTACTTGTCTGGAACAAATCTTTTTATCAAATGTAAATTCTATCCGCATTTTTTACTATCTATATAATTCTCTGCTTGATTTGGAAACTTACTAACTATTGAGAATAACTTTTTATGTCCCTTTTGCAAATATAATCTTCTCCACTCAGAATGTATTTTGTTCTCCTCCCACACCAACCTATCTCTTTGCTCCTTTGAAACTTATACACTGATTAGCCCTTTATTAAGTTTATCTTTGATAGTATACTTCCCAGCTATTCTAAAATTCTTTTTGGTATAATCTGTCTTCCATCTGGTTGTTAATTCTCTTTAGGATAGACTCTCTATTTCTTTTGTTTCTAAAACAATGGAGGTGGAAATAAAAAAAAACAATTAGGGGCTTTGTAAGTAGACTAACTCAAACTCTACCATTTACCCTAGGGATGTGAGGATTAAAAGAAAAACAAAAGTAAAACCTCCTCATATAGGAAGAGAACAATTTCTGTTTCTAGTGCCTACCACAGGAATTCAATAGATTCTGTGCATTTATATGACTATAAGTAAGATTTCCAAGCAAACCTTTTTTTCAACTTCCAAAGGAAGTCTCACATCTCTTCTTAGGAAAAGCTGTGGTGTTTCCCTTTGGGGATCCAAATTAGTCAATTCAGCAAGTATTTCTGGCCAGTCACGAACATGTTGCAAGGGTTTATGATAAGGCTTGAGTTGAAGGCCTGAAAAACATCTTTCCTTTTATAAATAATAATGTAAAAATAAGTTACATCAACACATAGAAAATTTGTATTGAACTATCTGTACTTAAGTGCTGAATACACACAAATTAAATGTCTAAATTTAAGTCACTGACTTTATAACCAATTATATCACAACCCAATTTTAGGTTAAGAGCTTTTGTTTTTAAGAGTATAAGAATTATGAGAATTCCTAAAACAAATAAAACATATCAAATGTATGTAAGATCTTTAATTCCATTATAGTCTATTTAATTATGATCCAATTAGTAGGATCTGGTGTTTTAAAAAAAATACAATTAAACATTAAATAACCAATCACAATAACTTCAATGTATTTGCAATACTTTGCTTGAAAGATAAATCTATAGTGGCATCGGGTTGGTCTTAAAAAAAGAATTTGATGGAAAACTAATATAAAGAAAAAGGAACATTTACATTATTTCGGGTGAAATGAGCACTGAAAATAAAGGCAAGTTGGATGAGCACTACATTTAGTGGCATTCAAATCAAATTCCATTGCCAGAGAAGAAACGTTTTCAAATACTTAAAAAACGCTTTGAATGAAGGGGGGATGAGGGTTCCCAAAGGCTTACCTGTTTCAACAGTTGGATCACTAGTAATTTATATAAAAGAGAAGATCATCGTAGCACTTCAAAATTTAAAGTCATTAAGAAACTGATGCTATACTTAAGTTTACCAATCCACTCTCACAAAGGAATAGGTTTACACAACAGAGTAACAACTTTCTTACTGAGGTTTTCTGAACAGATCCAAATAGTGAAGTATTGCTGTGTTTCTTGAGAGAGACGCATTCCTTCCATTATCTGCTGCACTGTGGTATTATTTCCATGCTTCAGTTCAACAGAACGGTATGATCCATCCATTCTGTATATTCGAACCTTTTCATACTAGGACAAAGAACAATAATAAATTATGCAACCTGGTTAGAAGTTATATATCCCAGCCTAACAAAATGCTTCAATTTCAACTTCATATGTTTTATTATAGATTTCAAACATGGAAAATAACAGAAAACTGCTTCGAGTATCTGTTGGCATGGTTTAAAAAAATTTTTATTTCCATTATGTTTTCCAGTGTTTTCCTCTGGATGTTTCAGGTCAAATATAAGGCAAATGGCTCTTAATAAATACTCAACTTCAAATTCTTCTGGGAGATGTTTTAAAGCTGTTACTGAACTAAATAGGTATCATATGGGACACAGAGACTTGGTTACCAAGTCTAGTGTTAGTCAGGTATCTCATGAGTCTAGTGGGCCACAAATAATACTGTAGAAATGTGTACTAGAAATAATTTTTCCTAAGAGGAATCTGTGATGGAAGACTGCCTGTGAAAGTTATGGAACAATGGACCCTGAGCCAGTTTCTTTCCTCTTGTTCAGAACATCTCAGAAAGTAGTAATATTCTCAATATGTTTTATTAAAAATCCCTGTCACCTATTTTGCCCATCCCTCACCCATCCCTCCTCTCTAGCAATCAACACTTTGTTCTCTTTATTTAGGAGTCTGTTTTTTTTGTGTTTGGTTTTTTAGATTCCACATACAAGTGAAATCATATGGCATTTGTCTTTCTGTCTGACTTATTTCACTTAGCATAATAAATACCCTCTAGGTCCATCCGTGTCGTTGCAAATGACAAGATTTCATTCTTTTTTTATGGCTGAGTAATATTCCATTGTCTATATATACCACCTCTTCTTTATCCATTCATCTATTGATGTACACTTAGGTTGCTTCCATATCTTGGCTACTGTAAATAATATTGCAATAAACATAGAAATGCACATATCTTTTCACACTTGATCTTAGCCAAAAGGCTGAGGAGCAATTGCATGTATCTTTTCAAATTAGTGTTTTCATTTTCTTTGTGTAAATACCCAGTAGTGGAATTACCAGATCGTATGGTACCTCTATTTTTAATTTTTGGGGGAACCTCCATACTGTTTTCCACAGTGGTTGCACCAATCTACATTCCCACCAATAGCAAGGGTTCCACTTTCTCCAGCACTTGTTATTTTTTACCTTTTTGAAACTAGCCATTCTGTCTGGTGTGAGGTAATATCTCATTGTCATTTTTCAATGTAGTCTCAATACATTTTATTGCCCAAACAACTTCCAGCTCAGTTCATTTTGGATGGAAGTACTAATTCCTTTTATCTTGTTCATTTAGAATATAAAAATTATGCCAGGAATAATAATGTGCCCTATACAATTAAAAATAAATTGTAATCAAGTATAATATAAGGGTGCCTGTACTGCTTTCCTTAACTTTGTCTTGTGCTCATGGAATAGTATTTTGACAAAATCTGTTGAGTGTGTGGTGAGTGTGTATGCTAATATTCCTTAAAGGCAGAGATCATATATTTATTCTTTATCACCTGTCACTTTCAGCATTTCAAAGTGTTAAATTCACAGAAATACTCCACAAATACTTATTGCCTAATTGATGGAAATGTCTGGAAAGGCTCAGAGATTATATCTGTTGATATCAAGTTTTAATACTTTGGTATAAATCCTTTTATCTGGTTTGCAAGTTTTCATACAGTTTTTAAATTGATGACAGTTTTCTTGTCACTGTAACTTTTAGGTGAACTGAGTTTTTTCTAATTGTTAATTCTTCTCTATCTTAATGTTACTGCTTATTATTTCAGACAGCATCAAGTATTACGATTATACTAGAAATTAGGTTAATATTAAATGTTTTAAGGATTTATTTACTTATGCAATTTTTATTTTGGTATGCAAGAATAAATGTCTGAATGTTAGGGATGATAACAGATTTAATACTTAAGAGATCTAACCATGAGGTTTTCTAAAAGCAGTAAAGAAACCATCCATCCATTCCTCTTGCCACAAATACTCAAATTACTTATCAATTTAAATATTTGGGTTAGTTCTATTCCTGAAGGTAATTCTTACTGGTTTGTTAATGGCTTCCTTCAATAGCTTTGCAGCTTCTTCCCAGTTATTTTGTTTGTTTTCTTCACAAATATTTAAAGGGGATCTTCCTTGTTGATCTGTTATGTGCTAGAAATTTTGGAAAAAAATACGAAGAAAAAAAGCATTACAAATATATGGCATTATAAGTGAAAATGTTATTCAATCAAAATTTCATAAAAAATAGACTTTTGTCAAGTATTAAATATTAACCATACTTAGCATATACTATACTTAAACATTACTTGATAAAGATGAAAGACTGAAAGCACTAATAAATGTGATTATTTTTTAAAAGTTCTGATTATAAGATCCAACAAAGGTTTTGTTTAAAATTATTTAAATGATTATTTCCCCCTTTAAAAATATGTATTAATACAAATTCTGGAAAAATGCATAGAAAATCTTTTTCCTTCTTAAGGATATTTTTTGAGGAAATACAGTATAACACAAAAAGAGGTTAAATTTTATGTATATGCAGGAGATGGATGATAGTGATGATTGCACAACAATGTGAATGTATGTAATGCCACTGAACTGTACATCTAAAAATGGTTAAAATGGTAAATTTTATGTGAGGTACATTTTATCACAATAAAAACAATTATAAAAGCAAATTTATACATAAATATTACTCATACTATATAGATGGTAAAATTTTTTAGTTGACTTCTCAAGTATACAATTGAACATTTTTTTTTT